CAAGCCTGGCTCCGCCCTCCTACGTACTTCCGCTCAATTTTTCATTTTCCTTTACGACTACGTCTGGGATTGTGGTGTATTCTTTGGTTTTCTCCGGTCAATTTTTTACCGGTCCAATCAGCGAAGAGAGGGAGTGGCTGAGAATGCTGCACAGAGGGAGTGCGCTAGTTTGAGTAGTCATACATCATGACCAAACATTAGCGATGATTGGTTATGCAGATCCAGAGTGACTCTGGGCAGATCCAATAGTTTTAGGGCCCTATTTTAATTATCTGAAACGCAACTATGAAGCGCGAAGCGCAAGTAACTTTGTAGGCGGATCTCGGCACTATTGCTATATAACTGGCGGGATAAATGACTCAAATCTAAAAGGGAAGTAGCTTCATTGTTCATAGGTGTGGTTTGGGCATAACGGGAAACAACCCAATAATAACATCATATCACATTCAGAGCGTGCCATTTTTCCATGGCGCAATTCTATTATAACGGCGCATTTACCGACGAGCTTCACAATCCGTTCACAGCCAAAGAGATTGATGTTCTCATCAGGACCGTAAAAGAAACATTGGGAATGGAAGTGACATTGGGGATGGAACAAACCCACCCAAACTAGCTTTGGTTAAACATGCATATAATAATTTGGGTAAATGGGTAAGCTTTATGCCTATTTTTCCCATCCTCATGGACACAGCAATGATTTGCACAATTCTAAAGCTCTAACTTTAAAGTCTGCGTTAGTGATTTGAATGTACAGTAAACGTATTTATTTTGAACTGGAAAGCAAACAAAGTGAGCATATATTGTGTTCAGCTAGCTAATGTTTGTTTGAAAAAAAAAACATACTGTTGTTTATCAAAAAGACTACAGGGCCACGTTTCTGCAATCTTTAGATTTGCTATATCTGTGTAGTCACTGAATGCATCATTGACTGTTCCCCTCACTATTCTTTCAGATAATGAGACCGTGGACTCTTCTGAGGTGGACTTTGCGTGTGGAGTGAGGAAGTGCCCTGATAAATACACCTGCATTGGCTCATGGATTGGGCCCAATGATGGCATCACTCAGTTTGATAACATCTTGTTTGCAGTACTAACGGTATTTCAGTGCATTACCATGGAGGGATGGACTGCAGTCCTCTACAATGTGAGTTCATGCAGTTTTATAGTTGACTGATTGGATTTATGTTTACATTGATAAAATACTCAACGTTTATCTAAACGCATCCTCATTAACCTATACCATATATAACATTCGGAGCTGCAGTGCTTGCAGTGATTTCTATATACAAATATGACAGGAACTGAAAATCTTTGCTTAAAGTAACTCATTTATGCAGGATTTTGCTCCTTATAAGGCGAAATGGTGGTGAAATCATATCTATATCTCTATATTGCAATATCTGTCTATATTGCATTTGAAGAGTTCAGATGCAAAAGCCTCTAAATGCCATTTGAAATTTTCTTCTTTAATGATGATTTTTATCATACTTATATATTTAAGTTCAGTAATTTCACTTAATTGTTATTTAAGTGAAATTACTGAACTTAAATATACAAGTATGATAAAAATCATCATTAAAGAAGAAAATTTCAAATGGCATTTAGAGGCTTTTGCATCTGAACTCTTCATTTATTCAAACATAATGTTTACTGTGCAGACAGCAATAATTTATTGGAATAGACATAAAAAAATAATCTTCAGGGCCCGGTTTTTCAAAAGTAATCCACTAGGATTTTGGATAACAGATTGGATCAATCTTGAAAATGGGTTTTTAAAAAGAACAAACGGATTACATAGTCGGATTAGATCATGTAATCCAATCTTGGTTTTGATCTGGATCACACCTTTAGTTTGGGTTTTTCAGAACTTTGATCCAAAAAATGTGGATTAAACTGATCCCATCAGAAGGGTGGATTCAGCGTGGATTTCATGCCTAAAATGTAATGAAAACTTTAAAAATGTATCAAATAAATCTATATTTGGATCATGCAGTATCTTACAAGATATCCTATTTATTCATAAGGTTTTGATTTTATTTGTTCATCCGTCAGGCTACAGTGGCTTTAACATATTTAGCCGTTTAGTATAGGCCTACAGCAAAGTAGACAGAGTTTGGCCTCATAAAATAATCCCTCAAACAGCTGTCAAAATTGACCAAAAACAATAAATTGTAATTCACAATCAAAAATATTTGTGTTTTTAGAATATTTATTAGTGATATACATTTGAATCGTGTTATAAATATCCTCAATGTACAGTGTTTGTTGTCTACTTGTTGCTCTTTACATATACAGTAGTTCTACATTGTGATTTCCTATCCTGTTTGAGCACTGGTTATCTAGATTTGGTGATCCTGAAAAGTTCCTATCCGGATCAGATTGATCCAATCCGATGTTGCTTTGAAAAACTGTCTCAAAAAAGTAAGCTGGATTACGTGATCACCGATCGCAAAAAAAAAAAAAAAAGGATTACTAAATCCGGATCAATTTTATCTGGATTAAACCTTTTGAAAAACCGGGCCCAGAGGTGATTATTTTCTACTCAGGTTTTACTTTATTCATTGATTATTGATATTTTTCCACAGACTAATGATGCTTTAGGATCCACATGGAATTGGGTATATTTCATTCCTCTCATCATTATCGGCTCGTTTTTTGTGCTCAACCTTGTTTTGGGTGTCCTTTCTGGGTAAGAAACTTACAAATACATCCCAAACATTGGAATTCTGTTATTATCTGTTCATGCTCATGATTTCATTTTTACCATCAAACACAAAAGGACTGTAACTTTCAAGCATCAAAAGAATGCAAAAACACATCTACTTATTAAAGGAGTAGTTCACTTTTAAAAAAAAACTTTTGCAGGTAATTTACTCACCCCCATGTCATCCAAGATGTCCATGTCATTCTTTCTTTAGTCGAAAAGAAATTAAAGTTTTTGATGAAAACATTCCAGGAATTTTCTCTATATAGTGGACTTTATTGGGAACCAAACAGTTCAAGGTCCAAAAGACAGTTTCAGTGCAAACTGTTCAAAGGGCTTTAAAAGGTTCCAGACGATGAATAAGGGTCTTATCTAGCGATATGATCGCTCATTTAAAAAAAATAAAACAAAGTTTAAGTTTTATAAGCTCAAATGGTCGCCTTGCTCTGTTCTGTGATGCGCGTTTGTGACTCTTCTATTTGAACTCGTTCATCAAAATGAACAAATCTTTTCTAGAGTCAACTCATTCATTTTGTTTGTTGAATGAACCAAATAACACGAAAAAAAATTTGTTCGTTTTGATAAACGAGTTCAAACAGGAGAGTCACGAACGTGCATCACAGAACAGAGCAAGACGACCATTTGAGCTTATAAAACTTTGAGCTTATAAAACTTTTTTTTTTAAATGAGTGATCGTTTCGCTTGATAAGACCCTTATTCTTCGTCTGGAATCATTTGAAGCCCTTTGAACAGTTAGCAGTTTGCACTGAAAGTGTCTTTTGGACACTTTGAACCGTTTGGTTCCCATTGAAGTCCATTATATGGAGAAAAATGCTGGAATGTTTTCATCAAAAACTTTAATTTCTTTTCAACTGAAGAAAGAAAGACATGGACATCTTGGATGACATGGGGGTGAGTAAATCACCAGCAAATGTTTTTTTTTTTAAAGTGAACTACTCCTTTAAATAATTCTCTTCTGGAATCCTACAGTATGTGTGTGCCGGATCAGTCTGATTTGTGATTAATGTTGTGAAATGGATCAAATTTATTCATTAATCAACATCACTATTTCTTTTATGAATAATCAAATATGTATAGCTATAGTGGATGTCAGGATTTTTTGTGAATAAAGTCTAATTTATAGCTTCTTATAAATGCACAAGTCATGTTTTTATTATACGTTTTATGATTTTTTGAGTCTTGAAAGCTCCAGTCCCATAGTTTCATAGTAATTGCATGGAAAAACGTATTTGTGTACAACCGAAAGAAATCCAAGTAGGGCTAAACGTTGATTGATTTTTCATTATTTTGTCAACTAATCTTTAATCTTATCCAATAATTTCAGGGTTTGATATACACAAACTAATGATTATTAGTTTTGTAATGTTCACTGAATGAGAGAATCGTTGCCTTCTGAGCCTGCAGTCGTGGGTGGCCTGAAAACCACACACTCTGGATGATTGGTTCACTAGGGATTGATTACTGTACTCGTTCAGCCTCCACAGTGTTTCTTAGCTGTTCATGCCCTTTATAGATTGTAAAAGGTCAGAACTTATAAAGCACTCAATTGACGTCCAATCAATTGATCACTTACTGAATTATTGTGTGAATGTGTGTAATGACACTTAATCCCCTAAATATTTCTGAAGGGAATTTGCTAAAGAGAGAGAGAGGGTGGAGAACAGACGTGCCTTCATGAAGCTTAGACGACAGCAACAGGTGGAGAGAGAACTCAACGGCTACCGGGCCTGGATCGACAGAGCAGGTACACGTCAGAAGCGTGCATTCATTTATGCACAAAACATTGCTGGCTTTGCTATTCTACAAATGCTGTCAAAAAGTGGATTTGAGGACTTGGTTGCTGCTTCCAAGATACTTTGCAATTGTACAATGTTTACAGTGGAACAACTGTTGTCAGTTAAATGAATCAGGATGGACACTGGTGTCAGTTTGTATGCTTTGTTAAGCTCATCTCATTCATGTTGATCACTGATGTGTATTTATTCATGTCAGGAAATTGGGAAATTGTGTCATCTATACAGTTTGTATGTTTGTATGTTTTTTGTCATATGTTGTTTATACCCAGACAGCAAACTGACATTGAATCAACGTGGAAACGACGTCTCTCATGACATCGAAACAACGTTGATTTTGCTCATCGAATTAACGTTGAACAAACGTCAGACGCGGCATTCTTCAAAGCTAAATGAAAATCGAAAATTAGTTTGCTTTCATAACGTTGAAACAACGTTGATTTCAAGTTGATTTTCCGTTAGTTTTGAAAGAATGACGCGTCTGACGTTGGTTCAACGTTAATTCGATGAGCAAAACTATGTCAGATCAACGTTGTTTCGATGTCATATTTCCACGTTGATTCAATGTCAGTTTGCTAACTGGGTATGTAAGGGGTGGGAAACAAGCATTGGAATTCATCAAAGCATTGATTTATTTTAATAATTTGATTTGTGGCAACATGTTCTCACAACTCACTTCACATATGGATGCTCGGCCAGGACCCCATTGGTATCACAGTATTGCACAGGGTAACCCTTTAAGAGTCATTCTGTTTAAGGGATCCTGAACAAGCATGGAGTGGGAACGTGTTGCTAAGAGAGACAGAGCTTAAAAGAGACAAAAGGCTTGCCAACAATGCATTGATGACAAAAGAAAACGTTTTCAATAAAGTGTGGGTGAAATTGAATGGAGGAGTTGTGGGGAGACAGAGAGGAAATGTGGTTGTATTTCCTACGAGACCCCATGGAAACAAGACATCCAGTGATTTTTAGATGCCTCATATCTGCTAGCGGGACACCGTAGATGTGACAGTAGCTTCATTCATGATGCTTCACTAGCTAATTATTTACTAGCAAAGCTAAATGGTTAAATTTGCAGAACGTTCCCCTAACGTTTCCGAATGGTCCCATGAGGTTCTTTTTTTGGGGAACCCAAACAAGAACGTTATAGGAACGTTCCATGTAGGGGTTTTTTTAGGTTCCATTTTTATAATGTAAGGAGAATGTTCCTGGAATGTTCCTGTTCTAGGAACGTTCTGGGAACCAAAAACTAACGTTTCCAGAACCTAAATTTGTTTGCTGGTATATACAGTACGCCAATTTCACGCAGCCCCCATTTTTAAATCGAAAGCGAGGCTCCGGTGGGAAGAACCCCGGAAGTATAGATAGACAACAATGACTTGGACTACCAACCTGAAGCTGCTGCCGCGATTTACTGTACACTATTAGATGTTAATATCCAATATAGGATATGTATATAGTTTGTTCCTGCTTCAGCGTTCTGAATTATATATATAAATGATATTTACTGTATATAGTCTAAAGTATGAGAGAAATGTATGTACATTTTTAGAATAACTGATTTCTATATTAAACTCAACAATACGCCATCGCATTTGTGACTCTTTTATGATTAAAGGCGACACTTCTGGTTTTTTCCCCACTGGAGCCATTTCAAAATGGCGGCTGCGTGAAATCAGTGTATTATGCTACTAAAATATTTCCAGTACACTCTTAAAGGGTCATGAAACCCCCCTCTTTCAGCTCAAGTCTAGGTCAAAATCTTTTTGAAAAATGCAACTGAAATGGGCGTGGCTAGCTGTGAGAAGAAGGGAGGGAGTGGGTGTGACCATCACTGTCACTGTCCCATGCATTTCGACTGTCACTAAAAAGCAATGGTAAAATGTGAGGAAATGCTAGATTTTTATATATAGCTGGCAAAGTTAAAGTCTTATGAAGTACACTGACACTTTATTATCATCCTTTCAAAAGTAACTGAATGTCCTACTACAAATATTAGCCTACAGTAATCGTAATTCTAATTAAAACATATTAATGTAGGCTACATGTATATTTATAATGTCATTATAAAATATATAGTGGTTTATATAGACACTACTGTATAAATACATTTCAGAAAAAAATTATTAATTTTCCGCTTAAAAAAATCGTTCCGTGCATAGTCATAGAGACATAGACAGTAAAAGAAAGTGCATAGTCTACGTGCCCTCTGAACCCTCATAATAAATGACTTCTCATTTTACATGCGCACACACACACACACACACGCACACACACACCTCTGAAGGGATAGAAAGTCCTCGGGATAACGCATCACTCGCAAGACGCAACTTGGATTAGTTGTCAACAAGGTGAAGTCCATCATTCTCCACTTGTCGCAGCTCTCTCGCGAAAATGTTCGCAGCACACACTATAGTTTGGATCAGGTTTAGATGTGTCCGTGTTTGATGGCAAACCAACCGTCCAGAGCCAGAGTCTAGCCCTGGCAGCATCGCGGGGAACATATTCAACGCACTTGGACTTTGCACCATGAAAACAAATAGTTTGCGTCCCATGATTGCCTCTCTCATCTAACGTTACTACGCGATATCACAGTTTGTCATGTCTGTCGTTGGAAAGATCCACGTGGTGTCATGAATAATTAAGAGGCCGTGTCTTCTCATAGGATAACACCGATGAGTCATCAACGCACTGTGCAGTGCACTGCCACGTCAGCCGCTACAATGAAGATTTTAAACCCGGAAGACGAAAAAAGCGGAAAAAAACTCAAATTTAACCATTTTAACCTTATTATTAAATCTAACAGATGCTAACATTGTCTTCAATGGTGTTCAACACACATACCTCTGTTATAATCTCAGAAAATTTGGTTTGGGGTTTCATGACCCTTTAAAATACTAAGACTACTGTGGTATTGCTTATTTTGAATGCAGTTTTATTCATATATTTTTGCTTTTTTAAACCATTTCAGCCAGGCTAGCAAAGTTTCATGTCTTTGCCCAGGTTCAGTGACAGACAGTGCTCTGATTGTGTACTACACCTACACCACTCTTTTCACATTTCACCCTGCCACCCACCACCTGAACACAACATTCAGGTGAACATGAGTGTGTGAAGCTGCTCATTCTCCCACGCAGTGAAGGGTCAACCCAAAGGTGACACTGACTCACTGACTGGAGTGTTTGTGTGTGTGCCTGTCTGTGCTCAGAATAGTTGATGCTTCTACAGTACAGCAGATCACTTTTAAGAGGCCTACAAATTGTCATTTGTGTTTCACAAAGCAAACTGATTTGACCAATAATCGATTTAATTATGTAAATTTAATGTTAACAAGTTATATTGACTCTCTCTTTCTCTCTCTCTCTCTCTCTCTCTCTCTCTCTCTCTCTCTCTCTCTCAAAGAGGAAGTAATGCTCGCAGAAGAAAACAAGAATTCTGGGAGGTCAGCATTAGATGGTATGAATTTCATTTTAACAGAGCTACAAAAAAATTTGTTGTCTTGTGTGTCTTGCGAGTTTGGTTTTTAAACCAGTTTTAATCCTAAAATGCAAGACTTTTACATGAAATTCCCAAAACTACTTTGAAAGCTCAGATTTAAAGCGGTGGTATAATGCCCTTTTCACAGGATGTAAAATAAATCTCTGATGTCTCTGATGAGTGTGTATGTGAAGGTTTAGCTCAAAATACCCCGCAGATGTTTTTATATAGCATGTTAAAGTTGTCAGTTTTTGAGGGTTAGCACAAACGCACTGTTTTGTGTCTGGCCCTTTAAATGCAAATGAGCTGCTGCTTCCGACACAGTGGGCGGAGCTTCAAGAGTGTGTTCAACAGTGCAGCTCCGATTACCTCACGCAGAGACACGCTAAAATGTGAGAAACTGTTCTGCCTTTTGCATTTAAACCGGAGCCAGACAAACATGGAGAGACTAAGAAGAAGTGACAACATGTAGAATGTAACAGGACGTCTCTGAATGGTTAGTTTAGAATTTATGTTGCTGATATGGAGTTAACTATCTTCAATTAGCATATTCTGTCAGGATAAGTTAGATTAAACGATTTCTTTAAAAGCAAATATCTCCCTTTGCTTTGAACTTTTAGCAGCAACAGCAACATTACACACTAACTAAAGTTAGAAAAGTGAAATCATAATTAACCACCCCTTTAAAGACTGTTGTTGATTAAATGTGATATTAATAATCATACTGTATATGGAAGAGTTAATAATACATATTTTCAGACAGAAATAATTTGGAATGGAGATGTGTTAAGGTTAAAAATGTATTTTTGCAATTGGAAGGCTAATGGCAGCCACAATAAATGTTTCCATCCAGACACGAACAACATATTTATGTGTACTTGGATTGCTATACCTTCATGATAAGAAACATAAAGCCAACAAATGGTGTCATTTAACCCTTTTAATTTTAGTTTTGAAACGGGCCACTAGCAAGAAAAATGCGAGGCGTCGAGGACCAGGGGAGGAGAAATATTCTGAAATCTCTACAGTTGGTAAGTAAAGTATAAATGTCATCTCTTTTTTTCCATCCATATTAAGACTTGTTTTGCGTTTTGTAATCAGCTTCTATGTTTGAGGTACCATTAAGAATTTATCTGTCTGAAGGGAAAGAAACATCTTTAATTAACACACATTCCATAAATTCATCTCCATTTTTCAAGCTTTTGGCATACCACCATTAGTACTCTCATAGAAAACAAACATTGATTCTGTGGGACCATGGATTTCTTTTTTCTTTTGTGTGTCAGGTGGGCCGCGACCAAGAGTTGGTATACGAACAGCAAGACGAGGTCCTGCTGCTTACATGCGGCGCAAGGAACGCATGTTGCGAATCTCTATTCGTCGCATGGTTAAAACCGACAGCTTCTATTGGATAGTCCTCAGTCTGGTGGGTCTCAACACCATCTGTGTTTCCATCGTTCATCACAATCAACCGGAATGGCTCACTGTCATTCAATGTAAGTGTCTATTTCCCCCTAATACTGCTTCTACTGAAAGTAATAATAATAATCCTGATAAAGTTTCTGAGACTGTGCAGGCAATTTTATTAACTTTATTAATACGATAAAGGTATATATTTGAAATATTTAAAAGGGTTTAAGTATTGCTGATCAAAGATCTTAAGTCTAATAATCATAATTATTCTCATTTTCACCAGGTTAGCATGTGAGGACATAAATAATAATACATCTAAGTATTAGTTATAATAGTTATGACCTAAATTGACTTTATCGACTGGATTATCCCAAAACCTGAAACACTAGTTGATCAGCTACACAGCAATGGGCTCACAAGTTCTGCTATGTTGAAATATCCATTGAATTGTGTTTGGCTGACAACATTCCCGACTTCAGACAGGAATGCCTTCTTCCCCTTTGGACTAAAAAAAATTGTCTAGTAAAAAGAAAGAGGGTGTGTGTATGCGTCCAATAAACTTCAGTCTACAAACTGCAACCCTTTTGAATATTTTCAACCCATCTCAATCAGCAGAATATTTATCAGTTAGGGGTCAAACTACTGCTGAGAGAGTAGTTAGATACTTCACTGTCGGCACGACACAGGACTGGTGGTAGCATTCACCTTTACTTCTCCGGACAATTCATTTTTCAGATGTCCCCAACAGTTCGGGGAAAGTAACTTTTCTGCTGTCCAATCCTTGTACTTCCTGCAGAATTTCAGTTTGTCCTTGATGTTTTTCTCGAAGAGAAGTTGTTTCACTGCTGCCCTTCCTGACATCAGGCCGGTGTCCAAAAGTGTTGTCCTCACTGTGCGTGTGTCACACAAGGTTGAAGGAAGTAGAAGATGATGATCAAGTTTCAAAAGCCTTTAATAATTCGAAGGCAATCCAAACACAACCTCTAACATATACATGACCAGAAAAATGAACACTGAAAAGGCTGCAACTTAAAGGTCATGGGGTTATTTTATTGTTTTATAATGTTTCCTGGGTTGCCCTTATAGTGTTAATGTTTTTTAGATAAAAAATAGTCATAATTTAGTAAAAAAAAGCATTTTTCCTAGCCTGATTTTAGCCTCTAATTTAAACGCTCTGTTTGAAGGGGAGTGTCTTTGTGGGATTCAGTGTAACCGCCCACTGCTGTGATTGGCTGACATGCTTGCATATGAAATAGCTATGTATTACATGCGAAACTTTCTCGAAAACTTTTACTACAGCTATTATAGGTTTTTACTATTACAGCTATCGAGATTAACGAATCGTAAGAAGTTTTTAAAGTATTTAGATCTATTCCTATCACAATAAAATGTTGCCGTGATGAGCATTGAGCAAGCAGAGGACAGTCTGTCAATCGCGAATAAAGATCTTATCATTGTAACGCAGTTTCTGCAGTGTCTAATGCTTTCACCAATGCAGACACGATCATGTACATACAGTAAGAGCTTCGTTGTGTAATGTGCGCCATTGATTTCATAACGAGTTGGCCAGATAAACTCGCGCTGTGTGGAAAGATTGTTCTTTGATCGCTTTCTGTATAATTTGTTCAGAATTTAAATAAGATTATTTTCATCCAAAAGAAACGATGTGAAGTTGATATTTTAGTCACTGGCTTGATTTACTGATGCATAAACAGTATATCGAACGATTTTGAGAGAGAGATTAACTTACCTGTCTGAACTTGAACAATTAGCCTACACATCAGAAATTGATGCTTGGCAACGTTAGCTCGATCGATTTACTTTCAGACGTTCATCGAGTTGAGGAAATAGTCGTAGGTGAAATGTTTGGACCATACAAAACTTTCGGAAGTTGTGTTGGCACATTTCCAGAGAAAATAAAAATTAACGTGTTCGTTTGTACATCCGAACTCTGATCTATTGCCATGCTCAATCATTTGCAAGACATGATATCTCTTGAGGAAAAACTAAAATCGCGCCTGCGGGTTCGTACTTCCTGTTCCTAGCTCATTTTCTCATGGGCGAGCCAAATTCTCCATGTGGGCAAAGCAGAGAAAAGGGAGGTTACCTTTCCTCATTATGACGTTATAACGAGGAGATTCAAGATCAGCTGCAGAGAAGAGAAAAATAGCCAAAGCTCGGTTTACACCGATTGAAAATTCTAGACACGAGGGGATCAAACGCACGCTAGGGGAACTAATATTAATGTTAAAAAACCTCAGAAAGTGAAAATTTCATGTCAGGGGACCTTTAAATACAAAGCAAATAAGGGAAAAAAAGGACAAACACCTGTGATGATAAATGAATCTCCATGACAACTAAAGAGTGGTTGGAAACTGAACAAAGGAATACATGTGACTGAAAATAACAAACTAGAAGTCCATAAAAACGAAACAGAACCATGACAGCATGCAGATGAGCTGCCAATATTGAGTAGCTCTGCACCGGTGGAGACATGATTCAGTAGATGACTTCTCAGGAAGAGGCAGTCCTGGTGCTTGGTGGACACTCTGGGATGCCCTGAACCCTCTTCATTGCAGTTGAACCTCTCTCCTTGAAGTTAATCCAGTAAATGGTTCTTTCATGTGTAATATTATTTGAAGCAATTTCTTTGCATGTGAAGCCATTTTGACGCAAAGCGAATATGGTTGCATGTCATTTTTGGAGGTAACCTTTGAGAACACAATGACTGGAAGCACTTATTCCCCTTTTTATAGCAATGGGTTTGCTTTTATAATCCAATGACTGATTACTGAATCATACTACTCGTTCACACTTTCCCATGTGCTGATGAGATGATTGCTGAAATTATGTTAGCTAATCAGTTTGTGCCCGGGCCAAAAAAAAAAAAGAAAAGAAATTGTGTTTGCCTTGTTTTTGCAGTCATTTAAATGCATCTGATCACTCTGCACAATAATCTAGAAACGATATGAATAAACGCCATAACAACTGAAGCAGCAAATTTAGCAAGATGTTGCTACAAACGTTTACTGCCATGACTGTAAATGTTGTTGTTCCTGCACCATAACCTTATAACCTAACTGGAAACTATGAATAAACACTAAGGTTCTCTCTTCAACTACTTACTTAATGACTATTTTACAGTTTTCAGATCTAGTGACGAAAAAATCATTACTCCTGGCATCAAAAAGTTAATGGTACTGTATAGACAAAAGGTCCCTTTGGACGATGATGAGGAACCACTCATCGACTGATGTGATATCACACACCAACTGGATGTTTAATCTCATTCAAGAAAACGGTGGTGGGGTCGTTTCACACAATGCCAAGACAGCATAGAGAACACCTCCTTCTTGGTAAAGAAGGTCAAATAGTGACTACACTTCCTCAAGAGACTCAGAAAGCCTGACATGAGCACACTTATCCTCAAATACCTCTACAGATGTGTTATGGGGAGAATCATGACCAATAAAATCTCCTGTCTGGTTCGGCAACTATTCCACTACTAACAGAAGCGCATTACAGTCTACAGTATGTTAAGGACTCAGCATAAACAGATCCAGCTTTCCTAAGTCTGAACGCCCGCACACACCGGGACGAATATCAGCGCCGAGTGAACATGCAAATTCATTCCCTGACATTAGATGGCGCCCATTTGCTCTGCAATCCCACTACATAAAAGTTCTCTTTTATCAAGATGTTTGTATTTGTAGTCGTAGTCGCGTTTGTCATGTAGTTCTTTATGTTCTACATTCATCTTGCCTTGCATCTTCCTCGTCTTATTTCTTCCTGGCAGTGTAGACGGCGATGCGATCTTCTTCTCCGTTCCGTTTGTGTGCTCGGCATGACCGTTTTGTGTTTGAGCGCCCCCAAGTTGTGTTTTACTGTAACTTCAGAAGCTCCAAACATATGAGCAAAAGCACCAATCTCATTGTTCGGATAGTTTTTGACGCGGCGCGTCAAAGTAAAAAATCGAACCCGAGGCGTTTATTTAAAAATGCCGCTTTTACGCGTTGGTGTGCACACTCACATTGGCGCCCTTTGTTTAGTCACGGGGCGTTAAACGACGGCGAATATCGTGCACGAAATTCGTCCCGGTGTGAACAGGACTTAAGACATTCACTCGGTCCCCAAAGATCAAATAATCTCCAAAACACTTGTGCCCATATACATAATACTTTGGGAAACACTCTGGACCAGTGGTCAGTCCATCACAAAACTAATACACACTCACACATTCATGCTCACAATCACACATACAGGCCATTTTATTATCTCCAACTAACAATACAATACCAATACCTGCATATATTTGGACTGTGGGGGGGTAAACTATAATGCCCAGAGAAAACCTAAACCAACTTGTGGAAAACATTGCCGACCATTCCTGTTACTGTCTTGGTGTTATTTAGGATTGCATTTTATCAGATACAGTAGACCAATGTAATTCAATTCCTAATTATTATCATTGTTTGAAATTAGGTTTTATGGAAAGTTCAGAAGGTAATAAGTACAAAGCCTAAGGGCTTGTCTAATGCAAGTAAAACAGCCCATGGCATATGTAGAGTGCAATCTGTTACCCAGAAAGAAAGCACTGTTTAGTGCAAACTGTGAGCCAAGACTGGTTGTCCACTGAAGCTTCACTGAAGGTTCAGTCTGGGGTGCGTTTCCCGTACAACTATGTGGTTCGCTGCTTCACTACCATAGTACGATGCATCGTTGGAGAAATCAACTAGCTAGTCACGACTGTTTCCCGAAACCCATTGTCGCAAAGTATCGTTTTGTGGATTAATAACTACTTTTAATGAAACTGTTTGAGATCCGATTAACGCTAGATTTGTTTTATATAAATTACAGACATGTCATCTGAGGACTATTTCGAATTGTTCTCAGTTATTTTGCTTTATTACCAGACTCAATATTTGGCTCGTTCTTACATAGTAGAGCACGTTCGCACATGCGCACTCTTCAAAATCTGTACTTTAAATCTTTTGACAAACTAAAAGACGTAAATTACATTTGTATTCATTCTAAATAAAAGGCACAGGTTGTATTGAATGTCAGCTTGCTTATTTTGCTCAAG